GCAAAAAGCGTGGCAGGCCACTTGGATCGAAAGACATAAAACCAAGAAAAACTAAAAGGCAGGAATTGATCTGTGATGCCAAAGATGTTCATCCTTCTGAACAAGAAAATGAACAATTTGAAAATACTGGCATAGAAAATGATATTGACAAAACAAACATCTCAAATAATGATCCAACTTTCTTAAATGAGGAAGATGTTCCAGATAATGATAGAAACGTTGATAATTATGAAATTTCAATAAACTACGTTTCTACTGGAATGCAATGGAATCGAAAAGATATTGATATTAATGAGATATTTGTCTATGCCGTTGCCACAAATGTAATGAATGAAAACAATGACAATGAGCCAACATCAATTGAAGAATGTCGGAAACGACACGATTGGCCAAAATGGAATGAAGCTATTCAGGCTGAATTAAAATCACTTGAAAAACGTGATGTTTTTGGACCGATAGTCCCTGCGCCAAAAGGCGTAAAACCTGTGGGTTTTAAATGGGTATTTGTGCGTAAACGCAATGAGAGAAATGAAATTGTTAGATATAAAGCCCGACTTGTTGCCCAAGGTTTTTCTCAAATGCCGGGAATTGATTATGAAGAAACCTATTCTCCAGTAGTTGATGCAACTACATTAAGGTTTCTCATTGGCATGTCTGTTTTTGAAAGGCTGCAAATGCGCCTAATGGATGTAGTGACCGCCTATCTATATGGTTCACTTGATACAGACATTTACATGAAAGTTCCCGGTGGATTTAAAATGCCTGAAGCTTATAGCTCGAAACCTCGAGACACGTTTTCCATTAAATTACAAAAGTCATTGTATGGACTAAAACAATCTGGACGAATGTGGTATAATCGTCTCAGTGAATACCTTCTCAAAGAAGGATATAAGAATGATCCAATTAGTCCATGTGTTTTCATTCGGCGATCAAATTCTGGATTCGCCATAATTGCAGTATATGTTGATGACTTAAACATTATTGGAACTCCCGACGAAATTGAAAATACTGCAAAATATCTTATGAAAGAATTTGAAATGAAAGATCTCGGGAGAACCAAATTTTGTCTCGGACTTCAAATTGAGCATTTGAAAAATGGAATTTTCATCCACCAATCCAATTACACCGAGAAAGTGTTGAAGAGATTCTATATGGACAAAGTTCATCCTTTGACTTCACCAATGGTTATTCGATCTCTCAACATACACGATGATCCATTCCGTCCCCGAGATGACGACGAAGATATACTCGGTCCCGAAGTACCATATCTGAGTGCTATTGGAGCTTTAATGTATTTAGCTAATAATACTAGACCAGATATTGCATTTTCTGTAAATTTATTAGCTAGGTACAGCTCATGTCCAACAAGACGTCATTGGAACGGGATCAAGCACATATTCCGTTATCTCCGTGGTACAGTTGATCTCGGCCTATTCTACCACAAAGATGCCAAAGCTTCTTTAATCGGATATGCAGACGCTGGATATTTATCAAATCCTCAAAAGGCAAAATCACAAACCGGGTACGTATTTACTTATGGTAATACCGCAATCTCGTGGAGATCTATGAAACAGACGTTGACAGCTACATCATCAAATCATTCGGAGTTAATTGCACTATATGAAACCGGAAGAGAATGTGTATGGCTGCGATCTATGATTCAACACATCCAGAATGAATGCGGTATGAAGCCTATTACTGTTTACCCTACTGTGATCTACGAAGACAACACTGCGTGCATAGCTCAAATTAAAGAAGGCTACATCAAAGGAGATAGAACGAAGCATATATCTCCAAAATTTTTCTCTACTCACGACCTTGAGAAAGAAGGGACGATCAACGTTCAGCAAATCAGATCCAGTGAAAATCCAGCTGATCTCTTCACCAAATCTTTACCCCCGAAGAAGTTCGTTGAACTTGTACAGAAAATCGGCATGCGCCGCCTTCAAAATTTATGTTAATTCCAGGGGGAGTATTTGAATGCACTGCACTCTTTTTCCCTTCATCAGGTTTTTATCCCACTGGGTTTTTCCTGATAAGGTTTTTAACGAGACAGTACATCCAAATACAACGACATTATATGTCGTAATCTTTACCCCTTAATTTTCACACTGATTTTCACAATAAGTTTTTAAAATACCAAATACCTATTCCAGGATGAACATTCAAGGGGGAGTGTTGTAAAATCATCAAAATGACATGTGTGAATGTCCATCCTTGTCATTAGGACACTAATCCAAATTCAATCCTTGTAATAGACAGATGGCTAGGTTTAGTGTTGCCAACAGATTATGTAGAATCATTCTTTGATGATTCATCTCCTAGTCTACTAGTATAAATAGGGTGATGAATCCTTTGTAAATCTAATTCAAGCAATTCAGAGAACTCAGAGAAATTGTTATATTAAGAAGAAGTTATTTAGAGGTTATCAATAATATATCTATCTCTTTAATCTGTTCTTCATCTCCTTCATTTTACAACAAAAGTTAAAATTTTAGGGATATTTTGAACATTTCATAGTATTTCAAGTATGTCCTAAATGGAAAAGTGGTCCTACCTTTGTCTAATCAAAAGCTTAGAGTTGTAGTTTTGTCATTTTCTCCAATTGAAATATCTATTTGTGATCTATTAATTTTGTTTAGTATCAGAAAGTAAGTGTAACGACTCTTCCATTCCTACAAAAAAAACTTGGTAAAAGGCGCAAATAGGCCTATGTACTCACAAAAAAAGGTCAAATAAGCCTTTATTTAGGAAGTTCTGTCCGGCCGTCGTCATTTGGGGTGGTTCCCGGCGGATTTTTTTGATGAATTTTTTTGAGCATCTTATTCATCAAGTCTAGTTTGCTCATACCAAATTTCAGCTAAAACTTCAATCGGGAAGGCATTCAAATGAATTCTTGAAGGTAACTGCGCTTCTAACTGCGCAGTTATTTTCAAAAATTCATTTGAATGCCTTCTCGATTGAAGTTTTAGCTGAAATTTGGTAAGAGTAAACTAGACTTCATGAATAAGATGCTCAAAAAATTGCATAAAAAAATTCCACCAGGAACCACTCCAAATGGCGATGGCCGGACAAAGCCTCCTAAATAAGGGCTTATTTGACCTTTTTTGGTTAGTACATGGGCCTATTTGCACCTTTTCCCAAAAAACTTTTAGGACAAAACTTTTTTTTCAAAGCGAAAACTGTCAAATTGATCCTCGAACTTTCATAAAAAGGTCAAATAAATCCTTATATAGGAGGCTCTGTCCGTCCATCGCGATTTGGGGCAGTTCCCGGTAAAAAATTTTGATGAATTTTTTTTAGCATCTTATTCATCAAGTCTAGTATACTCATACCAAATTTCAACTAAAACTTCAATCGCGAACGCATTCAAATTAATTCTTGAAGATAATTTTCACAGTTATCTTCAAGTATTAATTTGAATGCGTTCCCGATTAAAGTTTTAGCTGAAATTTGATATGAGTAAATTAGACTTGATAAACTAGACTTGATGAATAAGATGTTCAAAAATATTCATAAAAAAATTCCACCGAGAACCGCCCAAAATCGCGACGGGCGGACAGAGCTTCCTACATAAGAACTTATTTGACTTTTTTATGAAATTCCGAGAACTTATTTGACTGTTTTCCCTTTTTCAAACAAACATTCTCATTCCATGCTCCATCATAACTACACCCATATGACTCATATCTAAACACCCAACCCGTCCGAGGACACAATTTAGACAAGAAAAATGAGCATGTCTATTACGAGTACACATTAAGAATAATAGAGACGTTTTTGTAGCGTGAATGATGAGACAATCATATGTCAACTCATCGAATCTAAGAGACAATCCTAATTTATGCATTAGCTTGCACTCCTCCACTTAGTGCTTCTCTTGCCCCATCCCACCCACAATCATTCCCTTTTCCCAATTCCCATCCGGCCTACCAAGTAAGAATATCCATCCATACAAGCATCTACTCCCTCCGTCCCACAATGTTTGGGACAAAGGAGTGTGGCACAAATTTTAAGAAAAAGTGGAATTGTGTGGTTGGTGTTGAGTTGATAAAGTGTGAATAAAGTAAGAATGAATTGTAACCACCCAAATATTGCCAAATATGGTATGGGACAAACTTAATGGGACAGACGAAAAAGGTAAAATGGGACAAAGTTAGGGGGACGGAGGGAGTATATAGGATAACCCCAAACTTTTCCGGAACCGGAATTGTTCCAAAACCCGAAACAGTTCCGGAACCAAAAACCGTTCCAGTCTAGGCCAATCGTCTCTGAGTACAAGTAGGGCTGAAGGGGGTATCAGAACTTTAAACGGATAAATCGGTTGTCGACCCAAAACAGTTCTTATCAGATTTTAGTCTTACTGTGGACTTGTGGTCCTTGTGGAGGAACAGAAATCAGATCCAGTCCAGTTCCGGCCATATCTTCCATTTAACTCTCACTAGTTCTGCTAAGGCGGGTAAGTGCAGACCTTGGTCTGGGGTGCAATACCTTTTTAGGGCATTATAACCTATGTAAATTCTTACTTGCCCATCATGCTGTAGTAACTAAAAGAATAATTTAGCAAGGAATCAAAAAGCTATTGAGAAACAAAGTTGCAACAAGACAAATGTGGAGTAGAGTCATATTTCCATGAGGACATCCTTACAACAAAGGCTTAACTTAACCATCAAAGGCCTATCTACTAATAAACATGGAAGAATTCACATTTGCCTTTCAAACAAACACACCTTTGAAGGCTTTCGTACCCTAGTCGATTGCACCATATCTTCAGCTCTCCCCCAATCTATCTCTCTACCTCAAGGCTAAACTAGCAAAATATGTACACGACAATTGAAGCCGTTACACAAAATAGAAACCAGAAATCTTGTGATAACCTCATAACAACTGGTCATGTGTTTGCCACTTGTGATGGCACTCTTGGATGGTTATGGTCACCCTCATAAGTCACAATTAGCATTGAAGGATCTTCCAAACATCTTTCCACATGCTTCCTAGCTGGGCAGCCTCTCATGCTACTGCACTTATAGTATCCCCTGCACATAATCATTCCAATAATAAAGATCGATATTATGTCAGTTCAAAGCCTAAGAACAGCATGTTTCTCAAATTACATACTTAACCTTTCAGAGAATTTAAACTAGATTTCACATTAATGTAAGAGAAGATCACATATTGTTTCATTCTTTAGTAGTTTCATGTTAATTAATTAATTTACCACCATGATTCATTTTCCTTACGCAAGAGTTTAAGAAAATAAAAAGGCAAAATGAATTTAAAGTTTGGGTCGAGATAAAAAGAAAGAAAAGATAGGAGTTTTTTTTATTGTTGGTCGAATTGTTAATTTACATCAAGTTAAAATGTCATGAAAATATGATTCCTAAATCCATTACATCCACAGAATACGATTCAGAAATTTTAATAGAGGAAAAAAGGTTCAACTTTGGAGAGAAAGAGGATGAAGAATAATTTCTATTTTCCCTTTCCTTCATAATAGAAAATAGAGTAAAGTGTCTTTCTTTCCTTTATATGTCCCTAATTTCTTTTTTCCCAAATAGTGCATTAGTAACTACTAGTTCCAGTTACAAGAAATATTATGAAGGTAATTGATTCAAATATGATGTACATAGCAATACCTTGGGTGAGGAGAACCTTTGATAGGTTTTTGCCCATACTTCCTCCAAGAATATTCATCCTGAGGAATATCAGCTAACTTGTTACTAATAGCAGGAACTTTAATTGACCTTTTCACCCTATGTTTCCTGTCCCAAAACAATACCATTTGTGAGTAACGTGAAGAAAAGAATATAAAAAACAGCAGAAAATAATAATATAATACAACAGACCTCTTCTTAGAACAATGGCACCTACTACTGCTTCCACATTTGGTACTTCCATCTTCACCCCTCCCGCCGGAACACTTTTTCTTGTTTTGTTGCTGATACGCACTGAGGTCAGCAGAGCGCGACCCCCCGATCAAATGAAAGCCGTTTCCGTCAATATTCGCAATGCTCCCGTCAATACTTAGTGAAGACATAAACGACCGATTTGAAGTGCAAGTGGAGCTATCAAAATTAAGACTGATTCCACTATTGCTCCGCCGGTAAACCGGAACTAGTTTCTGTTGGAGGAAGTTATAATTTGCCATGGGTGCTTGGGTGTGGTAATGGTGGTGGGGTGGCTGAATCGGGGCCTTTCCATTCAAGTCATACGAAGGACTTCTCAATGTGAGAGTACAACTCCTATCCTGGTTCTGGTTATCCATGGGAATGGCTGGAAGAAGCTGCAAAGCTGATTGAGGGTGGTCATGGTGGGGTCTCCAGAGAAGCGGGTTTTCGAGAAGAATGTTAGGAGGTAAATGGGTTTGGATTTTCTTGACTTTTCTAACCCTAGCATGACCCAAGGTAGAATTCAGCTTAGAGACAACTTTTTTGAACTTATGAACAGCCTCCCCAGTTTCTACACTTAATTTCCCATATGAACTCTGATCAGTATTAGAATGAGATAACAAACTAATCACCCTATGGCAACTCTCAACCGCTTCCCTGTTTGCTTCCTCAATTTCCTCCATCTTCAAGTAATTCCCAGAAAGAACAGATAAATATATATAAAAAAAGAAAAAGAGAAAACTAAACAATCCCTAATTCCTAAAATCTAAACAACCCATCATTACATCTTCCATAATCCATGAAAAAATCAACACAAAAGTGACTAAAGCACATCTTCAACACAACAAACCAAAGAATCTCAGTTTGTTGTGTTCTTCAAACAAACTCAAGAACTTCAACTCAGCAAAAGTGGCATCTTTGAAGCAGGACAGCAGTTTAAAGTTCAGATTCAGAAGGGAATCAGCAAAACAAGACATGAAAGAGAATCAATGGTTATAGAAAGAGATGACCTTCGGCTGGAACTTCGTGAAACCCTAGATTCTTCAAATCTCCATGAAAGACTTGTGTGATGGGAGAAAAGGAAGGTGTGAAAGACAAGACTTTGGATTCATCACTGGAGGAACATCCAAACACACCGTTAGGAACACAAAGCTGCAATTTTTTTTATAAGTTAACTATGAAGACGATTTTTTTGTCATTAGATAGATTAGATTAGATTGTTATTCCACCATGGTTGTCTTTTTTCTAGAGAGAGAAGGGTAATGAGACAGATTAGAGAGAGAACCTGAAAACTAAACAAGACTCGCAGAGACTGGGGATAGATAGAAGAAGAAATAAAATTTAATTAATTAATTAATAATGGGATTGGAAAATAAGACTTTGAGCAACAGAGAGAGAGAAAAGGGAGACGAAAAGAAGCCCAGAAGGGAAACTGCCGTCTCCGTCACAATTTCAAAAGTAGGACCCACGTTGGACCTTGGTAATACTCCTGACCTTTTTCCATTTATTGTTGTTCTTATTATTATTACAGAGTATTAATTTTAGGTGACAACTCCGATATCTTTTTAAAAATTGGGATATCGTACGTACCATGCATTTCATTGGTCCAAATCATTCTATTTCTTTTAATTTAGATTTAATTAAGGTGACAACTCCGGTACCCATTTAAAAAATGGGGTACTGTACCTACCATGCATTTGATTGGTCCAAATCATTATATGTTTTTTAATTTAGATTTAAATAATCCAACTGCATCATTCTTATTGGTCCATTTGGATAAAGGTACGGTACATTTGGGGTACCATAGAATCTACCTTTAATTAATTCAACTGCATCATTTCCATTGGTCCATGTGGACAAAGGTATTGTACCTTAAGAGTACCATAAAATCTACCTTAATTTTATTACAACAATTATTAATATTATTATGCTTTCAAAAATAAATATTAGGGAAAACTGTCAAATAGGTCCTCGAACTTTCATAAAAAGGTCAATTAAGTCCTTCTATAGGAGGTTCTGTCCGGCCGTCGCGATTTGGGACAGTTCCCGGTGGAATTTTTTGATGAATTTTTTTGAGCATCTTATTCACCAAGTCTAGTTTGTTCATACCAAATTTTAGCTAAAAATTCAATCGGGAACACATTCAAATTAATTCTTGAAGATAACTGCGCATTTTTGCGTTCTCGAATTAATTTGAATGCGCTCCCGATTAAATTTTTAGTTGAAAATTGGTATGATTAAACTAGGCTTGATGAATAAGATGCTCAAAAAAATTCATCAAAAAATTCCACCGGGAACCGCCCCAAATCGCGACGACCGGACAAAGTCTCCTATAGAAGGACTTAATTGACTTTTTTATGAAAGTTCGAGGACCTATTTGACAGTTTTCCCTAAATATTATTATGGTCGTGTAGTCTTCGCATACTCTTTTCTCGTAGTACCTACATACATCAAGCTCTGTTTGAGATGCAAAATTACACACAAAATACTACATTCGTCCCACTAAAAAGTTCTCGGTTTGACTTACACGCATACTCCCTCCGTCTCCGGCAATAAATTTCCGAAACATTAATTAATGACATAAAATTGAACATGTGAAAAATGTAAAATTCAATATATTGTGATTATTTAAGAGCGTATGTAATATAAGTCAGATGCTAATATGATAGGGAAAATATATATTTGGATGAGCGAGAAGGATAAGCGAGACAAAAATAGTGAAATTGAGAAAATAGTGTATTTGGAGGAAAAAAACAATACTTGCATCAAATATATAAAAAGAAAGACTAATATGATACAAAGGTAGTGCATATTTAAAGCCCATTTGGCAAACTCGTACGGAGTATAGGTTTATCAACTTTTTCAAATTTTTGCGGGCTGAATTGAGTAATATTTAAAATAAGCAATGTTGAAAATACTTTTATGATTGAAATGCTTGAAGTTATTGCAGAAGAACATTTTCGTTATTTTTCACGTTTTTTTTTCTTTATTTTATTAATAAAATTTATTTTGAATATTATTCTTCCTTATTTCAGCATAACTTATTAATTTCAGCAGATTCGATCGATTCAGTCAATTTCAATGTTACAAAATGGACTCTTAGGCTATTAAGTAATAATGCAATTGTGAGGACGTTTGTAACTCACATTTTTAGCTTATCATATTTTCCTTTGTTACTTTTATTTTCGCGAGTTGAACTATTTAATGATCAAAATAAGTAAAGTTTAAGCTATTTTTTAGTTGAATTGACTAAAATTACTCTAGATGATCATTTTACCTGTTTTCTTAAAAGCTATGGGTGAAATTTGAGTAGGATAAAATGTAATGATATGAATCATAGATTTAGTTAGTTCAATCATTTCCATCAAGGGCAGAGTCAGGGGTCGGGGTGGTCAGCCCTCCTCCCTCCAAAGGTTTGAGAGTATAAAACTCTGAAATACATTCTATTTGGTATATTATGCCCATGTAACTCATTACGAGTAAAAAGTTATAATTTCTGCGAAATTAGCAATATCTAAACTTAAAATGGACTAGAAGAACGGTATGTTTGGCACAACTAACTGAAGAGATACTTTTATGAACTTCTTAGTGACTGTTAGCTTTTAGTGATTGAAAAAGTTTAAAAATAAAAAGGTGGTAGTTGTTTGATAAGGGCTAGTTGTTTGATTTAGTTGTGTTTGACACACAAGCAGTTGAGACTTGAGATCAATTAATGCTAAAAGTTGTAGACTTTTTTCATGCAACACATTGTAGCATCTAAAAAAAGATCTTCTATTTTTAAAAAATCTCTTAAAACTGTCATGTCAAACATTCAATTAGAAGTTTTTAGAGACTTTTTAAATAGTACAAAAGCTATAAAATAGGGACTTATGCTCGAAATCTTGATATTAAGTCGGGTGTGAGGAGAAGGCACATGGCCTCATCCAAGGCAATGTGAAAAAACAAGTTTGTAATACGAGGTATATATGATTTAACAATTATCTTAAAATGATCTAACATTTTATATAATTAAATTTCAACTCCATGGTTGGTTTTTTTGACTGTGTGTCCGCCACTGATTTCAATTAAAATTTCATCCATTTAAACGAACCAGACGCTTCACCAATTCTAACATTGTCACACATTCACACCTGCCTTTAAGTTTACTCGTAATTGTTTGTTTAGTGGGATAAATTATTAATTTAATTAACCTAAAGATCGATGAAGAATCTTATAAAAAAACTACTTTTACGACTTCCAATGTAGGTTGTCTTGTCTTGTCTCTTTCGGGGCATCTTTACCGTGTGATTTATGAACAATTTCGGAAAAGACCCAATTTGTTAACTATTTATATAAGGGCCCCGATTAGGGAGCGACAAATTAGAGTTTGTTTGGTGGTCATATTTTTCGGTTTATCAAACAACTATTTCATTAAACATATAATTTTTTATTTGACGCATTGAATTGTGTAATACTTACTAATGAAAAATAATAATATTGAAGTTACTTTTTCTGATTGTATTGATTGGAGACTGCCTGAAGTTATTCTAGAAACTTATTTTAACTATTTTTCATATAATTTTTTCTTTATTTCACAAATAGAGAAATTGTTAAATGTTATTTTTCAAAAATCAATACAGTCAGTCAATTCAACAACTGAGTCAGAACTTCATAATAGAATGCAAAACACGATAATTATTTTTTATTTAGATTCGGTAGTCTTTAAGTGAAATTATGTGGCGCCTAAAACCATGAAAGATAAAAATGAAAAAGTACACTAGACGACCAAAGACAAATCGTTGATATAGTCAGATTACATGCGACTTTGTGAGACTATAATAATTGTTTTATTTTCAAACAATGTTATCCTACTGCTTCCATCTATGCTAGGTAAAAGTGTAAAGTCATCATAAATCTATTGTAAGAGTGTCTGTTGTACTCGTTGCATTTGTTTATTATGTACGATTGTACTCCCTACTTTGTATTTAGAGACCGTTTGGTAAATTGGCCGATTCTACTGAAATTTATGAAGTTTTAGTTGAAGTGGTTGTATTGACTGATTTTGCTGATTTATAAAAAAAAAATATTTTATTAATGGGGTTTTTACATGGATATTACTAATTTTGAACCATTTACCCAAAAAGTGACCACTTTTAAAAAGGGGCAAAAAAGTGATCAAGAAGGTCATATATGTGCAATTAGAAAACATGATGTAACTGCAAAAAATTTATGTCACTGTGTTCGTTTTTTTGTAACTATAGCCACCACCCGTGTCACTGTAGTCATCGCCCCGTGTCACTGTAACCACCGCTCGTGTCACTGTAGCCACCGCCCGTGTCACTGTAGCCACCGCCTATGTCACTTTAGCCACCGCCCGTGTCACTTTAGTCACTGTGAAATTTTTATGTCATTTTTGAATGTCACTGTTTTACTGTCACCGTGAAAGATGTCACTAAGGTCTGTGAATGTTGAAAAAAATCAGAACCTTTTTCCAGCGAAATCATCCACCGACCACCCCTGCACTGCTGGCAGCATCGGCAGCCACCACCAACACCGGCCACCACCCCAGCCCCCTGTTTAGCAGCCTTCCCAGCCCTATCTCAGCCCCAAGCCACCGCCACTGCCCCTCACACCAATCCTTCGTTCCAGCTGCCGCCCAACTCACCCCCAGACCCCTCCCCATCCTCCCAAGTCCCCTTCCAGCCGCCGTCCCACTCACCTCCACCGGCCACAGGTTCCCAACTCCAGCTACCATGGCCCAATTTTAAACGCACCGTCGCACACAATGAAACCCTAGACTCACCTCAAAATCGGCAACGCATAAGGAAACGACCCCAATCTGCAAAGAAAAGGCCTAGATCCAAAATTGGTGAAGAATGCATCGAACCTTGTCGATGTTGAACCTGGATGACAGAGACGGAGTGATGATTTTGTATGGCTGTTACTATACGCACAAGGACATACGAGAGAAGATCAATCGGAGCAGGGAGGAGATTGATCGATGCAGCAGAGAGGAGAAATTGATCGATGAACCAGGGAGGAGACGGCTCTGACCGTGTAGAGTGACGGCGATGGTGACAGATTGGGGAGACGGCCAGCGACGAGAGATGGCCTGAAGAGAATATCGGCGATGGTGTTCTGCTCCTGGGGAGTTGTTCTATCTACGAGCGTGAAGGGTCATTCAGTCTCGTTGGGTGACTTTTTGGGGAAATTGAATTTTGATCATATTATTGTCTAATGAAACTTGAGGGGTAATATCTACGCCATTATTTCTTTATTAATAAAATAAAGAAAAAATTATATGGAAAATAGCACAAATGGTTATCTACAGTAACGTCAGCCAATACAGACAGAAAAGTAACGT